CGCGGCGTACCGATCCGCTCCGGGAAATAATGCAACGCGAGCAGTCTGCGGCGCGCGAAAGATCGGCCACATCCAATCTCGATTCTGGAGTAACAAGAAGCGAGAAGCATCCCCATCTTCTCTTCCCCTCCGCCTCTCCACCGCTCGTCTCGTCGTCCGTAACTCGCTTCGCCTCGCCTCACCTCGTCTCGCCACGCCTAGCCTCGTCTCGCCTCGCCTCGCCTCGCTTCGCCTCGCCTCGCCTCGCCTCGCCTCGCCTCGCCTCGCCTTGCCTCCCCTCCCCTCGCCTCCCCTCGATACGTCTTGCCATGCCTCGCCGTGCCTTGCCGCATCGCGCCGCATCGCATCGCGCCGCGCCTCGTTTCGCGTCAGATAAAACGAGGTGTCGGCGCCCACGCCGTATCACGCCACGTACACATCCTTCGCGAGCGTTACAAACTTTTGAACGGACGACGCGACGGATCGCGTGAAAAAGCCATCGGTTGCATTCAGCAGAAAAATCAACTTTGCGATTATTGTAAAATTCTTTAATATGATTGGCGTTTCTCTCTAAGTTTTTCGCTATCTAAAAACTAATACCCAGTTTAATCTGGGGTCAACTCACTCTTCGTCTTTTTCTAGTTCTAAAGATTAGAAAAAGACAAAGAGTAAGTTAAACCGAGATTAAAGTTAATCTACGTTGGTGGAAATGGGTATTAATGTATAAATCAATTATATTGAAGAATCTTACAGCAGTTGCAAAGCTACTTTTTTTCTGCTAAACGCAGCCATTGTCTGTAAGTTTTACGTTGTACATACGGCATCTCCGATAACAAAATCCATTTGGGAATTTTTTTGAAGACGCTTTTTTGCAGCTCGCTAAAGGAGCTTATATTATAAACCCCTTTAAATTATATCCGTCGATATTATCTAAGAGTAGTATGACATCAATATTATAATTTTGCACTCGATACAATATAAATATAATGCACAGCTTAAACAGAATAACACAAGTCACGTAACGTCAAAATGACGTGAAAATGAATCATAAATGATTGAAAAGTGACTTTTAGTGATCATTTCAATATCACACGATGATTTGTGTTTTGCTTGAAAATCATATTCTGTTAAATTATAATAATGATTATGTTACTTCCATGTAGTTGATGTCAATTGAATATCTTTTAACAAGAGGAATCTCCGATAAAATCTTTTTGACAAATACAAACAGACTCGGCAGAAATCACGTTTGTAAAAAGAATATATTTGTATAAACTTCGAGAAGTGTCTTTCCCTCGTAACTGTTTTCAATTGTTTCTCAAAACAATTATTTTCAGTATTTCATATTTCGATATAACATTATTTTTCGTGGTAAATTTTATAAATTTTATAAAATTTCGCTTCGCTTTCTGCGGATAACTTGCGAGCATTGAAATAGTTCATAAAGATGTTTTGAAGTGTGGAGAGACAGTGTAGGATGTATGTTATCTGAAGAATAAATGTGATGATCTATAACTCTAAAGCTAATGTCACACTAAAAAATTTAAACAGTAAGACATATAAGCAGTAAAAGCGGATCAACATTTTGAATTTGTTACTGCTTACAATGCTTACATTATTATTACCTTACATTCTCTATTGTGATTGGCCAACTTATTTACTGCATACGTCTTACTGCTTAAGTTTCTTGTGTACCAGCTTTAGGTACGTTTTCTAAACTTGTTATCTGTTCTTTTCTTTAATGTTTAAATGTATACTATATGTGTTTATTATTTTTCTCTATTTCCAACGTATTGAAGAAATGGAGAATATTATCAATATATATATATATATATAGATACTATTTGTGTGTGTGTGTGTGTGTGTGTGTGCGCGCGCGCGTGTGTGCGTGTGTGTGCGTGTGTGTGTGTGTGTGTGTGTATCCTTTCAAGTGAATAGATCTTAATTCTATTTCGAGAAAGTTTATAAAAATTAACAAATGTACGTTCGCTTTAGACGCGCTTTCTGTATTTTGAGCTTCTCTTTTCCTTTTTGAATACTATATTTATACATTAAGCACAGCTAGGATAGATAGTTTTCCAGCAAAAGATGACACAGTGTAACACGGTGAATCTTTGTTGTTTGTGTCTAGTGAAACAAACATGATTGAAACAAAGTGTTTCCTACATAAAGAATACAATGGACGCATATATGCATATGCGTCACATACATACAGTACTTTTATATTTGAAATTTTTTATTGTCCTCGAAATTGTGCGAAGAAAACAATGACGAAGAAACAATAAAACTTCAACATGATTGCTTTCTTGCTAATCCAATCGTATTATAATTTCTTGGACCCTATATATATATATATATATATATATATATATATATATATA